AGGCATTATGATAGCCTTAAAATATTTCACAAGAAATAGGATTTTACCACTTCACATAAAACATTGCCAATTCCTATAGGACTTTCAAATAACTCCTAAGACTGCCTGTCAGATCTTCCTTCAAATGGTCTGGCTCTTACATGTGGGATAACTGCTGTCAGATTAGACACTTCAAATTCTGACTAGTTCAGTTTGATCCCTACACACACAAAAAAATAACTACCAAACAGAACAGCTGGAAACACTTTTCTATAAAACTAACCATTTGATTGATTTCATGGCTATCCCATGAAAGATTCAGTAGGTCTTCACCCTATTATTTACTTCTGGTACAAACTACTGAAGTAAGGATAAAACAGAAGTCTGTAATGAATAAAATAAATCATATATTTATTTATATTTTATATTTATAGTAAATACCAGGCACAGAATGCTATTTTCATGTGACTTTCAACACTCTTAAAATTAAGAATGGAGCTCATAGTTGATACATGAATGGGAGCTGGGTGGAAGAATCTAGGTGTATTCACAAATAGAATCTATCATCTTTTTATCTGTCCATCTGTCTCTCTATCTATATCTATCCTTTTCTCACCTATCTATGGTTTATTCCAATAGCCAACTTATCATATTGTCCTGGTTCTCCAACATCTGACACGGACCTTGTTAATACAAGTGGTGTCTGAACAGACATGACTCTCTTAATTTGTGTCACTCTCATATTTGCAGCAGGCAGATTAAGCACTGGTAAGGTAGGTGTCCTTGGTAAGACAGGCACCAGCTCAGATTTGAAGCCCATTCTCCCATGTTAAAGGTGGTGTTCTAATCACTATGGTATCCAATGTATATACAGTATATAAAATATATGGGCTAGACCTTCCCAAGTCCAGATAGGAGATTCTCCAGGTTTTAGAGAATAAGGTAATAATACTGTGGGATTTTCAGATCCAGACAGATAGGCAAGCAGGTCCCTGGTAGAAGACCTGAGACTGAGGAAGACACATACCACTTATGCATGTGTGCATGTGTGTGTATGTATATCTGTATATGTGCATGTATGCATGTGTATATATATATATATATATATATATATATATATATATATATATACGCATGTATATATATACATTTTAAGCAGTTGTACAAAAATGCTGTAAATTAAGAATGCTTTCAGAAATATGTTTATTTTTATCAATTAACAAAGTGGAAAGTAAATGAACACAAGAGAAATCCAAATCAAATCAATATTTGAGGTGATCACTCTTTGCCTTCAAAACAGCATCAATTCTTACAGTTGCACAAAGTCAGGGATTTTGTAGAATTACAGTCAGGTATATAATTAACCAGTTATACCAAGTAGAGTAGAGGCTAATGATCATCAATTTCATATGTAGATTGAAACATAGTCATTAACTGAAACAAAAACAGGTGTGTAGGAGACTTAAAACTGGGTGAGGAACAGCCAAACTTTGCTATTAAGGTGAGGTTGTAGAAGACAGTTTCATGTCACAGATCATACACCATGGCAAAATTAGGCACAGGAACAAGACAAAAGTTCTCTCCCAGACAAGGATTGCAAAGCAGATTGGTGTTTCAAGATGTGCTGTTCAAGCTCTTTTGAACAAGCACAAGAAAGACACATCATGCCTACTTACCTTTGACACTGAAGATGTCCAGTGCCATCAGCACAGAACTGGCAGAAACCAGTGGGACTCAGGTACACCCATCTACTGTCCAGAGAAGTCGTGGAAACAAGGCTAAGAGACTCAACTATGCACGAAAACATCGGAACTGGGATGTAGAAAAATGGCAGCAGGTGCTCTGGACTGATGAGTCAAAATGTGAAATATTTGGCTGCAGCAGGAGGCAGCTTGTTCATCGAAGGGCTGGAGAGCATACAATTATGAGTGTCTGCAGGCAACAGTGGTGGAGGGTTCCTGCAAGTTTGGGGCTGCATTTCTGCAAATGGAGTTGGAGATTTGGTCAAGATTAATAATAGCATCAATGCTGAGAAATACAGGCAAATACTTATCCATCATGCTATATCATAAGGGAAGTGTGTGATTGGCCCCAATTTTTTTCTGCAGCAGGACAATGGCCCCAAACATACAGCCAATGTCATTCAGAACTATCTTCAGTGTAAAGGAGAATAATGGAAGTGATGGTTGGCCCCTACAGAGCCCTGATCTTCATCATCAACTGTTGGGATTACATGAAGAGATAGAAGGATTTGAGGCAACCTACATCCACAGAAGATCTATGGTTAGTTCTCCAAGATGTTTGGAACAACCTTGAAGGAACCTTGCCAAGTTCCTTCCTGTGTGCAAGTGTACCTAGAAGAATTGGTGCTATTTTGAAGGCAAAATGTCGTCACCCCAAATATTGATTTGTTTTGGGTTTCTCTTCTGTTTATTTATTTTCTATTTTGTTAATTGATAAAAATAAAGTATTAACTTCAATTTCTGAAAGCATATTTAATTTACAGCATTTTTGCACAACTGCCTAAAACTTTTGGGCAAGAATTTAACAAAGGATTTAAGTAAAATACTAGAAATAAAAGATCAACACAAATTTATTATATCATAAGTCTTTATGGTTAGCACTTTACTTGATTAGATGCATAAAATATGCATGTGGGAGAAGACAATATAAAGCTAGGGAGTAGAGACATCAACAAGGGTGATCAAACTGCAATATAAGCTTCACCCTTTCTGCTCACATAGCATTTCCTTACATGCATATTGTTCAAAACACAAACTCTTCCTGAATCTCAGTATTAGAACTGGTCCTTACTTAGTGAAAATATTAAGAAGGAAGCTTCTCTCCATCAGATTTTGTTCATATAAGGACATATAACGGCTTGTTGTAAGTGGTGAAGCTGCTGGCCTAGGAATCAGGAGACAGTGAGTTCTAGTCACATCTTAGGCATGAAAGCCAACTGGGTAACTTTGGGACAGTCAGTCTCTGTCAACCTAACCCACCTCACAAAATTGCTGTTGTGGGAAAATAGGCGGCAAGGAACATTAGTTATATTCGCCACTTTGCATTTTATATAAAAATATAGTAATAATATCTCATTAGAATTCATATCAGATCTCAAATGTTTAGAAATTCAGCTGTCTTGTGAGATTCAGTCATTACTCATTTTTAAAAATGGAAGTTCTCATAGGATGTATCTTGTAATCCATGTTGACCATAAGAATCATCTTGTTCATTCCCAATATATACTGTATATGTGATGTTTGATAGGCAGAGTAATGGCACGCTTTTTAACCTCAGCTTTTTACATTATGGTTTAAATATTAATATATTTGTATTTTAAAAAAGAAAAAGAGAGATAGTCCAGGTAAATACTCTCAATAGCCCAGAAAATACTTATTAACGTTGTCTATTTTAAACTGTGAGTGCTGTATTAAATTAGCCTTAAACAGGGACCTCAACAAACACACTGCAGGCACTAATGTGCAGACATCTCTTTTGTGCCCCCCCAATCTCTGTCATATTCTACATTTTTAACCGCCTCCAAAGTTATCTATTTTTCAGAGGCCTTGGATTCCACATAGACCAACTAAATAGGTGCTCTGAGAAAATAAAAATGGAAACTGGGCATAAGCAAATGTTTTTGAAATACACCCATCAGTTCAGAGAAAAGAGCAAAAGGAAAGCTGCAGCAACAGCGAGCAATCTCATCACTTACCATTCGGTACTGTATAGTACACAATGGAGAGATGTTTTATGAAAGGCCACACCTTTTGTGACAGCCATTTTTGTAAATGGGCAAGCCAACAGTGGCAGCCATTTTCTCTGAGCAGTTACAACATGATCCCAAAATGTCAGTGTACTTGCTGACCCTGAAAGATTGGGTGTTCTTGGATTGAAAGTTTTCGAAGTGTGCTTCAATAAACACTTATTTTTTGGAAATTAAGAGTTTCCTGGAAAAGCATAGAAATGGCAGATGAATTTAATGGCTGAGGTTTTTTAAGAGTTTACCCACATTAATCTTTGAGGCCTAATCAGTTTGAGTTATATGCTGCATGTGAACTAGCACCTCTAGGACTATGCAACCATACTGGCAGATCTGCTAATACATGTATATGGAAGGGGCTAACTCTTGATTCTGTAGTTTAAAAACTAAGATTTTTTTCTATTTCATTCAATGAAACTCTTTTTAAGAGGAGGAAGCATTTCAGGATAAGACATGTTGAAGTTATCTTAAATGTTAATTATTACTTCTCCCCCCCTCCCCCCGCATGAATAGCACCACCTGGGCACAGCCTCCTCAATCTGGGCACATCTATGGGACAATGAACTGGATTTATTACATATAACTTACTCCAAGGATCATGGAAGATAAATTGGGCATGGCAACCCTTAGTGCATTCTTGCAACATACCTGTTTTCTTTTAATAACTTCTCAGAATAATGGTGGTTGAATGAGAAACCTCATCTTTTTTATTATAATCTACAGGGCTACGTTTCATCCAGTCTAAAGACAACTCGGTAAACAGGGGCACTGGGAGTCTTATCACCCTGCAACATGTATTTTTCACAGCAAAATGTATTTGACCTAAGGTGCCAGCCTGATGAAATAAACCGTTCAGAGAAGATTACTAGACAGTATATAAAGACTGTTAATGAATCATGAAAATAAGTGCTGCGCCATGGGGAAAGACGATTCTTCCAAAAGTTCTGGAAAGGAAAAGAAGTGCTGAGGCGGAAGAAACCCAGGAGGACTCGCAAGGTGGAACGCTTCCCAGGGGCGGGAGCGTTAATCAAATGTACGGAGGCGGCTCGGTTACATTGCTGTATAAAGTGAGAAGCCAGCGCTAAAGAGTGGCGCCGGAGAGCCAATGGTGTTTCCTAACAGCTTGACGGACCAATCAAGTGGCAAGGAGAGAGTTCCAAAACGAGGGGGGCTTGATTGAGCGCGCCCGATCTTTCCGCTGCTGAGCTGCTCGCGCTGCCTTGTCCGGGAATTGTGGTTTCGTCGAGGAGCTTCCCGTTGGAGAAGCGCGGAATTAACCCTGTGGGATAAATGGCTCCTCCGCTGCAGGATACCGGGGTGGAGGGTGGAGCGGGAGAGAAAAAGGCGAACAGGAGCGAAATCTGTTCACGCCGTTTTTTCACGTGGGAAGAAATCGGTCTGCGCACGGGACGGATTCAGCCTCATCTTAAGGAGAAGTGGCTTGTGATTGACAGGAAGGTCTACGACATCAGCAGCTTCTACAACCGGCACCCGGGGGGCTCCAGGGTGATTTCCCACTACGCTGGGCAGGATGCCACGGTGAGTACAGCTACGTCTCAGAGTGCTAGTTGAGCAAGGGAAGATCTGTTCCGTTGCTCTCGCTATCAGGAAATTTCTCCTTGATTCTCGGTTAGATCTCTCTCCGATAAGTTTTGGTTTATTACTTCTTGTCTAGGTTGGTTCTCTCCTTGAGTACTTTCCATCTATTGCTTCTTCTGCCTTCACGTGCTTGGGAGAATAGGTTGTTTCCCCCCCCCCCCCTTTCTGACAGCCTCTCAAATATTGGAAGACTGCTATTGTGTCATCCCTCATCCTTCTCATTGTTAGATTAGAAGACGTACATAGTTCCTGCAAACGTTCATCCTATGTTTTTTTTTTCCTCCAGCCCCCTACTCATCTTCGTTGCTCTTCCCTGCACTCTTTTAGAGCCTCAGCATTTTTTCTGTATGGTGGTGATCAGAACTGGATACAGTATTCCAAGTGTGGTCTTACTAATAAAGCAGTACTATCACTTCGTGGGATCTTGATTCAGTCTTTTTGGATCTTGAGCCTATCTTCTATAGAAAGTTACAGATTTCTTTCAATTTCTAAATTAAACTTAAATTTTAAAGAGAAATTTTGATTATCTCCCTGTCGTCATTAAAACAGAGCTCACTGGGAGATTAAGGATTCATAAAGTTGCTCTCTTTAGAAATAGTGCCCAGAAATATTCCTTGGAGATACAGATGGTTTTGCTTTCATAACCAGGACTTTTCATACCAGTTTCCCCCCTCTTGCAAATTTGGGTGGTTTCTAAACTATCTCTCCTTTCTCAGTATAATCTTTTTAAAGATTCATTTAAATAGTCTCCCAGCCAGGATTAGTGTCATCTTGGCAAAAATCATTTCATATAAACTAATTACTAATTGGTGTTTGACAAGTTTGACAAGTTATTTGAGTCAGCTCTCCTCATTAAAATGCTATTTTATAATTTTTGTCTTAATGTATAGTCTGTTATCGCTGTTTTAAAAAGTTAATCTGGCTTCACAGCACCTATGATGAATATAAAATTTATTGAAATCTAAGAGTAAGGTTTAGTAAAAATGTTTATGATCACAATGTAAGATATGCCATTATCACTTTTATTTTGAAAATGGTCTTGGGTAAGCTGATGTCTTAGGGTGTGATGTTTGTAGGGAATATTTTAAAATTATTTAGCTCCAGATTGATGCCCAGTATTTGTAATGTCAAGACTGGTTTGATCATATTTGAAGATTTTACTAATAAAGTATTTTTGACTGCTTGATTAAAATTTACATAGAGTACATATTTTAATTTCCTAATACATGATACATGAGGTAGAAGTATAATTGTAAGTATTGGCTATATGAAGAAACTTTGATTATAAAGTGCAATGTGATTTAATTCTAATAGAAAATACTTTATCAGCAAGATATTCAGATGACAGTGCTGATGTTTGTCTATGTTGAAAGAGTAGAAGTTACACTGAGAATATTTCTTTAGTTTTTAAAAAGCTTTCTTATTGGCTGTTTGGGAATGGAGATAGAGCATCCATATATATATATATAGATAGATAGATAGATAGATAGATAGATAGATAGATAGATAGATACAGATACAGATACAGATACAGATACAGATACAGATACAGATACAGATATATATATATACTAGCTGTACCCAGCCACGCGTTGCTGTGGCTCAGACAGGTTAAATGTTTTTACCTGTCACAGGTGTGACATCTATATAATAGTAGGTATATAAAAACACGCGTGTATTCAAATGCAACATTGTGTCAAAATTTCAAAGCAATCGGTGAAGAACCTTCGGAGATTTAAGATTTTGAACAAACAAACATTTACATTTTTATTTATAATATATATATATATATATATATATATATATATATATATATATATATATATATATATATATATATATTTGTTTTTTGAGGTTTTCACGGGTGTTTATATGTGAGTCTTTGGTCATTCGGGTTTTCTCCCGTGTAAGATTAGAAGTATCATAGCGACGTTTCGATGAAATCAACAGTTGTTAGTTTATTAAACAGTTGTTTTTATATTTATCCCGGTGTTCGACTACTTTTCTCATACATACATACATACATACATACATACATACATACATACATACATACATACAGTGTGTGTAGTAAGTGATGCATGTAATCATATGCAGGTATAGTTGATAATAACCTTCATAATGAGAAAGATTATTGTAAATGCATAATGGGAAGAATTGCAGAAAGATGCTATCTGCTGTCCTGTATGCTCCAAAGTGTCTTTTGCTTTTGAATCCAAGTGATACATGATCACATATGCTTATAGGAAAGTATTTGACCAATAGAAGAATTTGGCTGAACTTCTTAAAATTAGCAAATTAGATACAGGCACACATACATAAATATATACACATACATACCAAGTAATGGAGCCAAAACAGTAAGAAAGATGTGGTTACAGAGCATTTTCTATAATTCATTAAAAGAGATTTATTATTTTCAGGTTTCTGTGTAAGCTAAAAAAAGTTGTGGCTGCTTTAAAGAGGTGATATATTATGTCAACATGACTCTTTAAACAGCTACTAGTACTTTTGTGAGTGGAAAAAACAAACCGGCTTAAATGAATGGTGGCAAGCTAAATGAGATCCAATACAGTTCTTTCAAATCCTTTTTGAAACATGTATGACCATAACAGCCAGGATTTCTTAAAAGTGAATGTATATATGCTTTCGCTGCAGGATGTGTTTTAGAATGAGGTGCACAAGTTGAGATCCATGTGTCCCCCAAAACCTTGAATACAGTCTCTAAAGATCTCTGAAAATTTTAGCCAAAATTAATTAAAAATTATTAAATGCCAGTGATTATACCATTTTAATTCAAATTAAATATGAATGAAACCAAAACTTTGTGTACTAATTTTTGAATAATAACTCCTAGCTTACCGCTCAAACTCTGGATGCAATCAGTGGACACTGAAAAATGTATACCACTGTTTTAAATTTAACCTCTTTGTGACTACTTTTCACATTTTCATTTAAATCTGTGTTGCTCATTCTGCTTAATATTATAACTTTTCTCTCACAGGATGCATTCACAGCATTTCACCTGAATAAGGCTCAACCAACCAAGTATTTGAGTTCATTGCTGATAGGGGAACTGGCACATGATCAACCAAGTTCTGAGCCCAGCAAAAATGTAAGACATCAGAATCAGGAATGCAGATACATTTCTATACTTAAAAAAAATACTTTACAGTGCAGAGAAGATTAAAATCAGAATTCTGAGTGTATCTGTGTGAGCACAGGGAGGCCAGGGGAAGAGGATGTGTGGTACATGCAAGCGAAGGGCAAGAAGTGGGTGTAAGAGAGAGTGAAGAAAGGCTGTGATTAGAGCAGACTTAACCAATCAACTTGCAACCTTCCCTGCCTGCTTCCCCATTGACTTTGCTTATTGGAAGCCAGTAGGGAAGGTCACAAACGGTGGTCACATGACTGCAGAACATTGCAACAGGTCATAAATGCAAACTGGTTCCCAAGTGCGTTGCCATGGCTAGAACTTTGAAAACCAATCGTATGCCTCTTCATTCAGCGTCTTTGTAACTTTGAATATTCTTGAATGAATGGTCGTAACCTGAGGATCACTTCTATGCAGTACTGATAAACAGGGATTAGTGGATGGGAGACCATCAGTCCTGTTCACATGAAACAAAATATGATAAAGCTAATATACCTCACCCTTTTTTCTTTGCCTGATTGTACATCAGGCTGCCTTTGAAGAGTATCTGGACGCTGCAGCTAATCCAAAATGGGCAGGTTTTCTCCTTTCTTTAGTGTTATACCTATGAAACACAGCTGCTCTGAGAACTACACTAGTCCCCCTTAAGCTTTCAGGTACAATTCAAGATATTGATCATCATCTGTAAAGCCCTCCATTGCATAAGGTAGTATCCTTTCTCCTATTGTTTCTGCCCCAGATCTAGTAAAAAGGGCACGTTCTGGGTGCTTTTCTATTAAGCCATGTCATCTTGTTGGATCCCAGACTTGTGCCTTTTCAGTGATAGTACCTGTCCTATGCCTCTCCCTCCCCCCCCCCAACATTTCAATGACCTGTTAGCCTTCACAACATACTGAAGACCTGGCTGTTCCCAAAGGTATTTAGATCAGAGGGAAGATGAGCTGAGCTGCTGTTGATGGTTAACAGTTAACCATTCATCCTTGAGCAGTGGAGAGAGTTATGTTTGGGGATGTTGTTTGTTTTTAATCCTGTTAGTCAGGGCTTTTCAACCTTTTCACCGACTGTACCACTTTTAGGCTATGGCAATATTCGAGTACCACCTAGCAAGGTGTCAAAAACTTGATGACCAAAAAAAAAACAAAAAACCTGTTCAAAGTTGCAATTGCTCTGAAATGACTTATGACCATTTTTCACACTTATGACCATTGCAGCATGCCCAGGGTCATGTGATTTATATTTGGATGCTTGGCAACTGATTCACATTTATGATGATTACAGTGTTCCAGGGTCATATGATCCCTTTTTGCAACCTTTTGACAAGCAAAGTCAATGGCAGGGCTGCTAGTGGCCAAGTGCTAAGGCGGGACTTTCTTCCCTCCTTCCCTGCCTCCCTCTTTCTCATTCCCATCTCCTTCTGAAGGAAGAATTTGAAACCCCCCCCCCCCATATTTTCCCTCTTCCATAAATTCATCAAACAAGGAAAAGCCTCCAGAGACAGAAAAGTGAAGCTGCTGAGGGAACTAACTTAAAAACTAACTTTAAGAATTAGCTACTGGCTACAAAGGAAAGTTAATGAGTGCAGCTGGCACTTAAGGAAGAAAAAAAATGTAGTAAGTATTGGCTGCCGGCTAAGGCAGCCTCCCCAAATGGCTCCATTCAGAAGTAAAGGAATGCTACAGGCAAAATCCATTCAGGAGAAAAATACTTCAAAATCCCTTGCAGCAAAACTTACAGCTAACAATAGCAGAACAATAGAAGCCATCAGCCAAATAGAAATTGCCAAACACTCCTTAAGAACACAAAGCCCACATTGCACAAATCCCAGAACTTCAAAGTCACAAAAGCACATAAGAATCCTTCCACTCTCCATCTCCCTCCCTCCCTCCCTCCCTCCGTGTCTTACCTCCAGCTGATGCTACCTTTCTTCATTCCTCCTGGAGGGCAACCCCTCCCCTGCTGCATTTCTTGCCTGTTTGTTGCTGCCAGCACAGGTGGCTGCTACAGAAGTTGTAGATCGGCTCATGGCCGGCCTGCTTGGACTCCTTGATCTCCTCTCCTCTCCCCCCCTCCTCCTTCCCCTTCGATGCAGCTAGAGCTGACTCCACATCCTCCAGAGGCTGCTTCTTTTTTTCCCCTCTCCTGCCCAAACTGCCTCCTTTTATAGCTTCTCCTGTCTCCGCCCCTCCTCCTCCTTTCTCATGGGGGAGGGTGAGCCAGAAGTGAGCCTGGGGTGAGGCTCAGCCTCAGCCACTCTGCAGCTCCAGAGGACTCTCTCACAGTAAGTCCTTGCCTGCGCTGGCTCTTTCCCTCCCCCACTACACTTGGCTAGCAGGGCTGCGTACCACCTGCCACTCGTTAATGTACCACAAGTGGTATGTGTACCACCGGTTGAAAAGCCCTGCTGTAAGCCATCCAAAGTCATTTGTGTGAGATGGGTGGCTATATAAATAAACTCTGTCACTGAGTACTTTCTATGTGATGACCTGTTTTTAAAGCTTAAATAAGAGGAATGAGAACCGAGTAAGACTGTACAGTCAAATTATTTGTCTTGGCCCTCTGCAACCAGGTACTATCCAGTATTTCTTGTGGCTCTGAATTCTGGGAGTAGTGATTATATACAATGCAGTATAATATAATACAATACAAAATGAAATAAAAACACCATACAAACTAGGCAGCATCAAGGTGGTTGTCATAATCTAAAACAATACAAATTAAAAGCTTGGGGAATCACATTTTGTAGCTGACATTTCATATTATTATTTGTAGCCATGTAATGTATGATTATGGGACTAAGTAATTTTTTCAACTGGAATGACTACTTGTTGGGTTTTCCACAGCAATTGCTTGCCAAAGACTTCAGGGAGTTGCGGTCCACCGTTGAAAAAATGGGACTTCTGACACCAAATCCCCTGTTTTTCAGTCTGATTTTTCTTCATATTATATTGTTCGATATCGGTGCTTGGTTGACAATCTGGTATTTTGGCACATCTTCAATATCATTCTTCACGGGTGTTGCATTTTTTACTATTGCTCAGGTACGGTATGGACCTTGTCATGTAATAAGAATTGGTATCTTTTTCTATATATGTCTTAAAGTATTTAAAGTATTTCACACATTTCACTAAAGTGAGACACAAGATAAATAACTACAATAACACTAGATTTGGGAGGGGGTTTTCTGTACTGCAACAGCATTATTCTTTATGTCACATGACATAAAATCTTAGCATCTGGGATATTTCCATACAGCTTTGCAATTTAATGGCAGTATAGTTGGCACCTGGTTACTGTTTTGAAGTCACAATCAAATTACAAGTTGATTAATTTTGCTAAATGGGCCCGGAATTTTCATTCCTAAAGTGATACAGTTGTAAAATGCAATGTCATGTGACTGCATCTCTTAGTGACAGCAATCCTGGCCATTAAATAGACAGTCCATGGTCCAAATGCAATCCCTAGACAGGGACCGATTAGGTTCCAGATCTCTTTTCAACAGATTAAAAGTTGCAGGTTTACAGAATCTTATTTTATTTAACATGAATATCTCCCTGAAATGTGTTTAATGTATTGATTTAGTTCTGAATTGTACAGTATATGAAATTAACTTTATTTTTAAAAAAGTATTTTTTTTCAGGCCCAACTGTCCTGGTTCCAACATGATTTGGGTCATCTTTCAGTCTTTAAAACATCCAAGTGGAACCATCTTATCCATAGGATGGTCTTGAGTCTACTGAAAGTAAGTGTCCTGACCTTTAGGGAAGCTTTCCTTTTTGTCATCCTACGAGGTTAAAGTCTGCTTTGTTCTTCTATCTCCTTTCTTCTAGGGACTTCCAGCCAGTTGGTGGAATACTTTGCATTTCCAGCATCATGCCAAACCGAACTGCTTTCGTAAAGACCCCGATCTCAACATGCATCCCATTGCGTTTGCCCTGGGGGAGAAACTAGCTAGAGAGGTATATTTGTGGAGTGCATATTGTTGAAAAGCAATTTTAGAAGAGCTAATAGAAGACACTGAAGGCAATAAATCTTCATTATCTGTGTTTTGTATTTGCTAAACCATTTTGTTGTTTTTACTTTTTCTTTTAAACCTAATTTGTTTTATTTACTTTTACAGGATCTTTTTTTTTTAATTTATTGTTACGGGTCCTCATTTAGCAACCACAATTGGTTGCTAAGTGAAACCACAACTGTATTTAGGATCTTACTTCATCTTTCCTTTAGGTTTTAACATTTGCAGGTAGTCTTTGTTTAGTGACCACTATTGGAGCCAGCCACTTGGTTGTTAAACAGAATGGTCACTAAGTAAAACTGAAGTCGTGCTTATGATCTTGCTTCAGTTCTCCTTTGCTTTATAGACCTCCAAAAGTTGTAAATGCAAGGATTGGTCACAGAGATGGAGTTTGAGATATTACGTGAAGCGTGCATAAGGCTGCAACTTTTAGTTACAAATCTGTCTTTTTTGTCTCTCTTCATGATGATCGTGATCATGAGGTATTAAACTTCTATGCCACCTAATTCTCAAGGACTCTGGGCAGCTCACAGTATTCAAACAAATTACAGTAAAATTAAACAATAAAATAAAGATAAAAATGTCAAGTGCTATGAAGTGAGAGGTCTCCCTCACCGAAGGCCTGGGTAAAGAACCAGATCATCAATAACCCTTCTTAACAACAGCAGAGTAGGGGCCATCCATATCTTGAGGGGAAGCTCCATTCCAGAAGGCAACCTCTGCTACAGAGAAGACAGACTTCCAGAGTTCTGAAAAGTGGCATTGTTTATTTGAAGGAACCTGGAACATGCCAAATTGACTGGGCAAATATTATAAGAGACAGGTGGTCCTTTAGGTAGCCAGGCCTTATGCTATGTAGGGCTTTATAGGTAACAACCAACACTTTGAATCACACTCAGAAGCAAACCAGCAAGCAGTGCAGCTTGCAAAGCAGAGGTGTTACATGGGCATACCAAGGCAAGCCCATTACTGCTTATGCTGCCACATTCTGGATCACTAAACACTGGGCGCTATCTAACAAAATGAAATTCTACATTTAGGCAAGAAAAACCAAATGTACAGGTATAGTATAGAGAGTACCTTGCTCAATAGTAGTAACTGTGAGAGGGACCTCGGAGTCCTAGTGGACAATCACTTAAATATGAGCCAGCAGTGTGCTGCAGTTGCCAAAAAAGCCAACACAGTGCTGGGCTGCATTAACAGGGATAGAATCAAGATCATGTGAAGTATTAATACTACTTTACAATGCCTTGGTAAGGCCACACTTGGAATATTGCATCCAGTTTTGGTCACCACGATGTAAAAAAGATGTTGAGACTCTAGAAAGAGTACAGAGAAGAGCAACAAAGAGGATTGGAGGCTAAAACATATGAGGAAAGGCTGCTGGAATTGGGTATGTCTAGTTTAACGAAGAGAAGGACGAGGGGGGACATGATAGCAGTGTTCCAATATCTCAGGGGCTGCCACAAAGAAGAGGGAGTCAAGCTATTCTCCAAAGCGCCTGAAGGCAGGACAAGAAGCAACGGATGGAAACTAATCAAGGAGAGAAGCTACCTAGAACTAAGAAGAAACTTCCTGACAGTTAGAACAATTAACCAGTGGAACAACCTGCCTCCAGAAGCGATGAATGCTCCAACACTGGAAGTTTTTAAGAAGGGACTGGACAGCCATTTGTCCAAAATGGTGTAGGGTTTCCTGCCTGGGCAGGGGGTTGGACTCGATGACTTCCAAGGTCCCCTCCAACTTTATTATTATTATTATTAGTTAAAACTGCCAGCTGAGGAGCCTTAAAGGAGTATCTTCTCTATTCTTCAAGGGCAGCACCATGTTGATAGCTTTAGAGTAGTCAGGCTATGAGATGACTAGGGCATGAGTGACTGTCTGAAGGTTTTCTCCCCCCCCCCCCCCCCGATTTAGGAAAGGGCACAATTGGTGCCTCAAATGGAGTTTCCCAAAGACCTTCCTAGCCACAGTTGGCACCTGCTGTTCGATCAGGAGCTCCAAGTCCAGGTAGACCTCCGGATTGCATCCTAACCTTGAAGGGTAAAATGATACCCAAAGAAGATAAAAGGTGGAATATTATTTCCAGATCTGGGCAGTGCAAACACCCACAGCCACTCAGTCTTAGTAGGATTTAAGTTACCCATTCTTCCTTCACTTGTGTTAATTGCAGCTGATTCAGAGAATGTAGTGGCACAGGCAGCAATGGGTACAATAGCGGTAGGTTCGCATCGCATCATTGTTATATGAGCTATACTGGCTTTCAGTAGGCTTCTGGGTGCAATTCAAGGTAACTTGAAAACTTTTTTATCTTCCTGCCTGGCCTGAAGGCTTCAGGAGTCATAGCGATGGCTCTGTTGTATCATTCCAAGAGACAAAATACGAGATTGTGGACTTAGGAAGATTTTAGGAGCAAAAATAATATTTTAGCTTTATTACTTAGAAAAAGGTTGTCTTAAAAGAGTGCAGTAAACCTCTGCAAGATTTAAGGCATCCATTTACCCCTCCAAACACGCAACATCTGAACATTTTGGCCCTGCTCACATTAGGCAGCTGCCCACAGTCCATGGGTCACACTAACATAAATTATGAAAGGAGCATGAGGAAATAAATCTCTGTTGCTTGAATGAACTACTAATGTTCCTTTCTTCATAGCTTGGATTGCAGAAAAAGAAGTTCATGCCTTACAATTACCAGCACAAGTACTTCTTCTGTAAGTACCTCTGTCACAGAAAAATACCACATATCCATTATTTACAATAACTGCACTGCCTCTCCTGATTTGTAGAACGGAGCTATAGGTTACAGCATCTAAAATAGTGAATTTGCAAATCAAAAGCTATAAGATAACCAGAGAAGACTTATATGTTGGGATCCAAGATGAAAATGAGAATTGATAGTGTCGTGTCATAAGAATTTGGGAATAAAGACAAAAGGTAACATCAGAAATGGAGAGTAAGAAGGTGACAAATTATATGCTGATTTATGAAGATTGATTTGATATGAGAAATTAAAGATGCTGAATTATCACAACAGGAAAAGATAAGCTTGAGAGAAGATATAGTAATAAGTACTTTATTGCCTACTGAAACATTAGTTTTTGAATTCATTAAATTGATCTATGAAAAGAACATAGTTCTGAAATACGAACAGAAGTATAAACCAAATAAGGAGAAAGTATAGGATGCAATATAGCAATTATAAGTTGGTCAGAAGAAATAAGGCAGAAGAGCAAGTATGCATGTTTTTAAAGAGATGCATATTTCTTTTCCTTGTTTAACAGTAGTGGCACCGCTTTTACTTGTTCCCTTCTTCCAAATCTCCATATACCACTTTACCATCAAACGCAAAGAATGGGTGGTAAGTATGCCTACCTAGGGATGTACACAAATTAGGAAAGCATGTTTTGTTTCAGACCTTCTACATGTCACCATGTTTTGGAAATTCTGTTCAGCTACTTTGATCAGCTCCAGTTTGACAGAACTGAAACCTAGAATACTTTGGTTACTCCCAGTTTCAGATGAAACAAAATCTCAATAGGACAAGTGTTTGGGGGGAGGGGGGCTGGTGTTCTTTATCCCATTGCCCTCCCACTTCCAGCATATTTTTCTCCCTTGGCTGATGGGCAGCTGATCTAGCATGGTATGTCCCACTGGCCAACTCTGTCCCAGTCAGCTGTATTTACATCCATGCTTGGAGTGAAATAGTTCATGTGTGGACTATTTTGCCTATTCCCCATTCTCCAAAAGCCTATCCTGCTAGTGGGAGCTTATTTTATATGAAATATTGTTGCATAGGATTACTTATAGAAAATACTATCTTTTCTCTGTTTCTTCTGAAATAGGATCTAGCCTTGATTCTCATTTACCAGATCAGAGTCATCCTTGTCTACTTACCCATTATGGAATTTAAAACTTTTATGGCATTCTACTGGCTGAGCAGGTAACACCAACTTTAATTTTGTATTAAATAATTATCATCAACTACTGATAAAATACCACCCATGAAACAGAAGTGCCATATGACCACATTCTGTACCATTGGAAACTTCCAAGTGGTTTTCAGGGACAGCTATGGCATAAATAACTATGAGAAGGCCTTCCTGGTGCAGAAATGGGCATAATTGGTATACAAGGTAAACCTGTGTAAAAGCCTTCCTAGTCTAACAACAAAGAACAACTAACAACGTGTTCTTTGAGCTGGAGCTGAGTGTCCAGGATACCCACCAAATTGTGTACTAGTTACAACTTGGAGAAGTTCAGCTCCATTCAGAACCTCAGGCAGAAAATCCCCAGAATTAGAAAGTCCATGTACCCACAACCATTTTAGGGTTGAGGTTAACTCTGCCCCCCCCCCCTGAAACTTCCACAGCCTGTAGGCACTGGGGAAACATCTTGACAACATCATTCAGCCAATCAAGGATTAAAATATTCAGCAGAGTACTATCAATGTATGGATGACATCTGACTCCCTGGTGACAGATGAACATCTTACTCCAAAGTGGCACATTGCTCAGTAGCTTTACTGAAAACTTTTGAAAAGTCAAACATACAATTTATGTGTATTCATTATAACAAACTGCTTTCATTCCATCTTTAATGTTCAACTACTTTTTTTATGAGGAAATTTTATTGGTTTTTCCATTTTTACATAAAAGTGCTTGAGAAACAACGTGGTGATTGGGCTATCAATTATCCTAAAACAAAACCATACATATATCACACAAATTAATTCCTTTGACGTTCCCTCTCTGTTTCCCACATATTATTTTACCAATTAAAATTATTACATTTGTAAAAAAAAAGCTCAATCAATCCAATCAATCATCAATCACATTTCAATTATAAGAATCCAAATCCTGTTTTTAAGCTTTACTATTTTGAAAATTACCATATTCCAATTAAGCTTATATTAGCACTTCGGGCATCCCTCATTTCTCTTTTCCCTATCATAATGATTCTATCTAAAGTAAATATATTATTTCAAACAACAACATCCTTACTTTTTTTTATATATAACCTATTGCTTAAACTAATACATCATTTATTAATACTATTACTTCTCTTATCACAAATACCTCCTCTTCTCCCTCTATTACAAAATAGTTATCTTGGTTAAAATGAAGATATCAGTCCAAAAGAACACATTTCTGTCTATTTTAAATATATATTCTATCAATGAATTAAGTAACATTTACTCCTCCAACTACTTATCATCTCTAATACCCAATATTGTTACAAAAAATATCCTTTTAGAAAATCACCTATTTCATTTGTCATTAAAACAATCCAAACATCAACAATCTTTTTAACCCATTCAGTGGAATTTTTAAACCTAACTCTAGCTTTCTTTCTATACCAAGCTGGTTTCCATAATAAAGCCTCTGCATCATCAAACCTCAACATTTGAGTAGACCTATTTCTCAATAAATCAAAATAGTCAAAGTTCTCTTCTCTTTCTTGGCCTTACGGAATTAGCTCGGCCTGCAGGGGGAGCCGCCACTCCACCGCAGCTGAGCAAAAGCCTCCTCAACGGTGGTCGCCCTTCCAGGGCAATTTAAGACCCGCATAAGGGTCTACTGGCGGAGAGAAAACAGCCAACGAAGAGCTACAGCTCTTCGTATGGCTGAGCCTGCCGTGAACCAGAAGCGGAAGTCAATGATCAACTACTTCTGTAGTACTATGTGAAAGGGTGCCTAGCAAAAAAAATAATTTGACACTATATTGGACTTTGCAGATTTCTGGAAGCAGCTTGGTTTATCTGGGTTTCACAAATGAATCACATTCCAATGAATATTGACTATGACACAAACATGGACTGGGTATCTACCCAGGTAAGTCTATTTCCTCTTGTTCAAAGCATTGATTTTCGAGACTGAGCATAGAATAATTTGGGAAACTGATGCCAAATTGTGGGTAGGAGAAAGGTTTGAATCTTATATTTTCCCAATATGGCAGTCCTTCAATTCATGCAATCTGGTAAGCTGGGGGAGTAAAATATTTTTTTNGGGGTCGCCAGCCGGCATTGTCTGGCCGATGGCACTCTAAGGAGGCCCTCTCTGTGGGAGCGGACTGGTCGAAGGGAGGTGTTTGGTAGGAGGCGGTCTTGCAAATACCTAGGTCCATTGCCATGGAGCGCTTTAAAAGTTGTTACTAACACCTTGAAGCGCACCCGGAAGGCCACCGGCAGCCAGTGCAGCTCGCGCAAGAGAGGTGTTACATGGGAGCATCTAGAGGCCCCCAAAATCCCCCGCGCAGCCGCATTCTGAACTAGCTGGAGCCTCCGGGTGCACCTCAAGGGGAGCCCCATGTAGAGAGCATTGCAATAGTCCAGGCGGGAAACAACGAGGGCTTGAGTGACTGTGTGTCACTTTATGGATCTGGAAGAGGACGATAGAGAGGTAGAAATAAATAAAATTTATAGAATAAATTACAGATGTGGTATATGGAGGAATGCCCCTAGAGAGGTTTTAGTGCATTTTGTCAGATATTTGACAACTGCAATGAGATTATTATGTGCCCCAAAATGGAAAGGCTAGTCACTACCCAGTGTGGAGGAATGACTGGTGAAGATGATGAAACCTGTGGAAATAGGCTAAATTAACTTCATTGATTAGGGGGAAAAAAACCCCACAGCATCTACATTTATGGCTGACTGGAAACCTTATAGATCTTTTGCATAAAATGGGAGAAATGCATTATGATTTGTGGTTTTGATGATTAGAAAAAAAATTGGATAATAAAAAAAATGACTTCTTTGTAGTATTGTGAAATTGTACCTATATTTGCTGCAAAAGAAATTGGGAGCTCTTCTTTCTTTTTCTTTCTTTTTTCTTTATTAGATTGTGTTTAGTTCTTATGTTGTCTTTACATCTTTTAATCAACTTTATTTTTTAAAAAAACAAACTTTTTTATTTTTCTACAGCCTTTTTCCCACAATGCCTCGCCACAACTATAGTAAAGTGGCTCCTCTTGTGAAATCCCTCTGTGCCAAATATGATGTTTCCTATCAGAGCAAGCCCCTCCTTACAGCCTTTGGAGACATTCCGCGGTAAATATGGCAATAAGTTTATGACCAAAAAAAGAGTAATTGGCTTGGGTAAACAGTTAATCAGCTGAAGTAGCTAAAGCAGACATGTCAAACACAAGGCCCGGGGGCCAGATGCGGCCTGTGAAATGGTTTCATGTGACCCGCAAAGCCATCCTGGAAACAGTGAGGGAACGGACCCCACTGCCTTGGCCCAGGCCCAGGCCAGCCGGGAGCCAATGTACAATTTTGTGGTGGCCATCTTGGCACTTGCCCCGGTGGACCATGCCTTGGCACTTGTCCCAGTCCCACCCCCTTCTGCCAGAGATCCTTAGATCTGTCCCACTCCTGCCCAGGCCCCCACAGGCACCCTTGACGCGAATGATGTAGAACTAGCCACGCCCACCCAGTAGGCCACACCCATTCCATCCACGCCCACCCGGTAGGCTGCACCCACTCTGGCCACACCCACCCAGCCCCCCAAGGGCAACTGCAATGCTGATGCAGCCCTCAGTGAAATTGAGTTTGACACCCCTGAGCTAAAGGGACAACTGATCAAAGCTAAATTGATGTCTCCAGGACATGGTCTATATCAGGGGTAGTCAACCTTGGCTCTTTTATGACTCGTGGACTTCAACTCCCATCCACTCCCAGAATTCCTGAGCCAGCTATGCTGGCTCAGGAATTCTGGGAATTGAAGTCCACGAGTCATAAAAGAGCCAAGGTTGACTACCCCAGTCTATATAGTGGGGGCAGATCAAGGACACCTAGCCCATGTTTCATTGTGAGGTGCATAATAAAGGCAACTCCTTGAAATCTGGAGTTTTGCTAGGCAGTAGATACCTGATAATAAGAACTGCAATAGCACCATAAATCAATTAGATAGTAATGGCTATATGATCTTGAAGTCTTATTGTAACAAATCATCTTTAGAGCGTGATGTAAAACAGATGACTTACCAGAACAAGAAATTCCAGAATCTGAGATCTGGTTCTTTGCATCCTCCAGCTATGTTTCTGATGGGAATGAAAAACAACATATATTCTCACATTACCTTAGTGGTTAGGTAAGATCAGGGCAAAACTAGAATTGTCCTTGGGAAATGATGGTCAGAATGCCTGTTCCTTCACATTTGGGAAGCAATCATTGTGCCACAAGTGGAAATTTTCCCTCACCCAATTGCAGTGGGAAAAGACTCTTCATGTATACAGATAATGTGCACAGAGGTGGCGATCAAAGGAATGTAAGGGGGTAACAAAGATGTTGAAAGATTGGGAAGGCACATATTATGATACATCTCTGTCTCCCCTCTCTGTATAATGAAAGAACTGTACACTGTCTTACAGATCTCTTAAGGTCTCTGGAGATGCCTGGCTTGAAGCATATCTGCATGGATAAACATTTTGAGAATGAACTCCATCCCAATGAAGATGCATCACACACTAGAGGGCAGCTGGTGGACTAAGGAAGAATGTGGGGTCTAGTGAGTGAATAGGCTAAGCGATAGCTTTGCTGGGATGGGATAATTGTGGTACTTTACTTCATCCTCTGTACAGTGTTTCCTTGAATCTGTATTCTGTTTGTACTATGGCATTTGGTGGATATGTGAAAGGTGAATTAGTACTCTTGTATTTCACTTGCTTCTATGAGATTGAAACTTGGCTTTTTTCTTGTTTGGGGGAAGGGGGAAGGTTATCAGACGGGAGAGGTGAAGAGTTTAGAATAGAAGGATGAAATAATGAGAAGAAAGAAGATAAAAATACAGTTGGTGAATAAGATGTTACATGTTACTTGAAGGACAGCTTGAAGTTTTAGGATAGCTTGCAAGGTCCAGTGTCTCTTAAAAGGAAAGAGCAAAATTCTTAGAGCAGTTAAAACTTCACAGTTGGGTATTTGAAGTTTTGAGTCTTCAAAAATGTTGCAAAAAAAAAAAAGAATATTAGTTTGATTGGTTAGATTTCTAATGTTCTTAAGAAGGAGAAAAAGCAAGTGAATCACTAGGTCTACTACTCAAACCCCTCCTAACAAAATGTGGGTTTACCTAGGAAGGTATAAATTAAGTCTTTTTGTACACTGATAGCCGTTCTGGTTTATCGAAGGTAAGACAGTTTCAGGGTACAGTATAGAATTTGGTCTTTGACACTGGGTGGAGGTACCGTTAAAAACTCGAAGTAGTCTTTATCGTGTCAACTATCTCAGGTGAATGCAGATTCAATGCAGACCTTTTAGCATACACACTTTTTACAGTGTATGTTAGAAGGAAGGATGATTCTTCCACCATATTGTGGACCACAGCCTCTGGAAAGTTAAGACCTGAGGTCATGACATTTGTCTGGCACAGGATTGATTGAAACAATTTCTTTCTTAAATATATGTTTATTAATGTGTGATTGATGCTCTTTGAACCTTTAGCACAGTTCTCTAAGATGTACACTACATCATGTGTACCTATTTTATTTATTTGAATCTTTTAATATATTTCATGAACTGATTTCACGATGTGTGCATGATTGTCTTTTTATTCAATAGTATAAACTGGAGCAGGAATGGAAAGCTGAAACTTCCTTATGAATTTGGATAATATTTTAATTTCCTTGAAATATATTAAACACCAAAACGTGGGGAACATGGAAAAATGAAGACATAGTTATCCCAATATCTAAAAGCTTGCTCCCATACAACTGATTGCACTGGAGCAGATTATCATTGCACAACTGCTCTGGGATAACAATCTCAGTTACTGTAGTGAAACAATAAATAGGCAAAGAAGCTGACGCTATAGACATGTAATTACTGTGTATAAATTATTTTTAAAGAGGGATTTGTCATGAGTTTAAAATGGATCTCATCTGCAAAAGTAGAAGCAAACATAATACCACATAAGTCTATAAGTTCTTTAGCTTCAAAAGTCATAGTTATATAACTACTTGAACAGGTAATCCTTGTTTAGGGACTCAATTGGTGACTGTGTGCAGTTATCACAATAATGAAAAAGTAACTTTTATGACCAGTCCTCGCATTTTTAGGTCAGAAAAGCTGAAGTGAGGTAATAAACTCAGTTGCAGTTTTACTTAGCAACTGCTTCACTTAACAATCAAGTTTTAATTCTAGCCACTAAATGAAGACAACCTGTACTGATGAGGGCAGAAAGCTTCTCTGTCTGATCCATGCTCCCAAAAAATACAGGTAGTCCTCGGCTTGCAAGTTTGTTTAGTGACTGTTTAAAGTTACAACCGCACTGGAAAAAGTGACTTATGACTGTTTTTCACACTTACAACCATTGCAGCATCCCCATAGTCACATGAGCAGTGTCCCTCGGTCATGTGATCACCTGCAACCTGATAAGTAAAGTCAAGGGGGAAGCCAGATTCACTTAACAACCATGTTACTAACTTGAACAAGTGCAGTGAGTCACGTAACAGCTGTGGCAAGGAAGATTGTAAGGTGGGGTAAAACTCACTTAATTGTCTCACTTAGAACAGATTTTGGGCTCAATTGTGGTTGCAAATTGACTCCCTATAGACATTTTACAAGCAGGTAGCACATACTAGTTTTGTGCTCTCTTAATAATAATAATAATAATAATAATAATAATAAAAATTGGAAGGGACCTTGGAGGTCATCAAGTCCAACTCCCTGCTCAGGCAGATAACCCTATGCCATTTCAGACAGTTTCTTCTTAAAAACTTCGAGTGTTGGAGCATTCACCGCTTCTGGAGGCAGGTTGTTCTACTGGTTAATTGTTCTAACTGTCAGGAAGTTTCTCCTTAGTTCTAGGTTGCTTCTCTCCTTGATTAGTTTCCATCCGTTGCTTCTTGTCCTGCCTTCAGGCGCTTTGGAGAATAGCTTGACTCCCTCTTCTTTGGGGCAGCCCCTGAGATATTGGAACACTGCTATCATGTCCCCCCTCGTCCTTCTCTTCATTAAACTAGACATACCCAATTCCATCAACCTTTCCTTATATGTTTTAACCTCCAATCCCCTAATCATCTTTGTTGCTCTTCTCTGTACTCTTTCTAGAGTCTCAACATCTTTTTTACATCGTAGTGACCAAAACTGGATGCAGTATTCCAAGTGTGGCCTTACCAAGGCATTGTAGAGTGGTATTTATACTTCACGTGATCTTGATTCTATCCTTCTGTTAATGGAGCCTAGCACTGTGTTGGCTTTTTTGGCAGCTGCAGCACACTGCTGGCTCATATTTAGGTGATTGTCCACTAGGATTCCGAGGTCCCTCTCACAGTTACTACTATTGAGCAAGGTATCCCCTTTACTATACCTGTGCATTTGGTTTTTCTTGCCTAAATGTAGAACCTTACTTTTTTCACCATTGAATTTCATTTTGTTAGATAGCGCCCAGTGTTCAAGTCTGTCCAAATCCTCCTGTATCCTAAGCCTGTCTTCTAGAGTGTTGGCTATTCCTGCCAGCTTGGTGTCGTCTGCAAATTTGATGAGTTACCCATCTATCCCCTCGTCCAAATCATTGATGAAGATGTTGAAGAGCACTGGGCCCAAAACAGAGCCCTGGGGCACCCCACTACACACTTCCCTCCATGTAGATGTGGTTCCATTGAGGACCACACGCTGAGTACGGCCAGTCAGCCAGCTACGGGTCCATCTGGTGGTGATGCTATCTAACCCGCATTTTTCTATCTTATCAAATAATAGGTTGTGATCTACTTTGTCAAATGCCTTACTGAAGTCCAAGTAAATTATATCCACAGCATTCCTCTGGTCCACTAATTTTGTCACTTGGTCAAAGAATGCAATAAGGTTTGTCTGGCATGATCTGTTTTTGACAAACCCGTGTTGGCTTTTAGTAATGACTTGGTTTGCCTGTAGGTATTCGCTGATTTGTTGTTTGATTATCTTTTCCAGAATCTTCCCAGGTATTGAGGTCAGGCTGATAGATCTGTAATTTCCTAGATCCATTTTTTTCCCTTTTTTGAAGATGGGAACTACATCAGCTCTTTTCCAGTCCTCTGGTAGTTCCCCAGTGCTCCAGGATCTTTGAAAAATATAGTTCAGTGGTTCTGAGATCACATCTGCCAGTTCCTTGAGAACCTTGGGGTGTAATCCATCTGGTCCTGGTTATTTGAACTCGTCTAGGCTGGACAGGTGCTCACTTACCATTTTCTTGCCTATCTTAACTTGTGTTTCTATACTGTTTTTTATGGCACTATTTTTGATAGGTTGGTCTGCTTTTTCTTTTTGTGTAAAGACAGATGCGAAAAACGAGTTAAATAGTTGTGCTTTCTCCCTGTTGCTTGTCACCTTCTTGCCACTTTCACCCACTAATGGACCAATCGTTTCCTTCACTTTTTTCTTGGTTTTTACATGTTGAAAGAAGCTTTTTTTGTTATTTTTTACTTTGGTCGCAAGCCTTAGTTCATTTTGAGCCTTAGCTTTCCTCACTTCATCTTTGCAGGCTCGGGGTATTTGCTGATATTCTGACCTAGTTATGTATCCCTCTTTCCACTTTCTATACTTGTCCTTTTTATCTTTCAATTTATCAGAGAGTTCTTTGTGTAGCCATGCTGGTTTCTTTTGAGAGCTGTTATTTTTCCTCTTTGTTGGTATTGTGCTAGATTGGGCTTTTATTATCTCACTTTTCAAAATTTCCCAAGCATCTTGAGTTGTTTTCCCCTGGAGGATTCTCATCCATGGAATCCTTCCCAAACCCTCTCTAAGTTTATTGAAATTAGCTCTCTTGAAGTCCAAGACTCTAGTTTGATTGTGTTCTAGTGCTTGTGCTTCCATAATGTTGAATTCTAATATTGCATGATCACTTCCTCCCAGGGTTCCTATGGCTTCAACACCTTCTATCATTTCATCTCTGTTAGTGAGAATTAGATCCAGAATGGCTAATCCCCTAGTTCCCTTCTCTACTTTTTGGGAGACAAAGTTGTCTGCTAGGTTTGTCAGGAATCTGTTTGATCTTCCACTTGGTGCAGAGTTTGTCTCCCAGTTGATGTCAGGGTAGTTAAAGTCCCCCATTACTATTTTAATTTTAATTGACAATCTGCATCAGAATACAGAGAGTCCTTGAACAATGACCATTCACTCAGTGACCCTTTAAGATTATTACAATGATGAATAAGTGGTAGTTATGCCCAGTCCCCAAATTTGCAGCTATTGCAGTACCCCTGCTGTCATATGATTAAAATGCAGGTGCTTGGCAGCCTGCCTGTGCTTAAATATATCTCCTCATTTTTCCCCCTTTCAGCCACCTTGTGCTGAGCCCTGTAGGCCTTGTCATTCCTGTGCTCACTGATCCTGCCAGCCTTGCTGCCCCCTGCCGATCTTCATTGTCTTCTTTTTGCCAGGTCATTCTTTCAGCTGAGGCCTTCTTGCATATACCTGCCTTCCAAAGCCTTGCAAGAAGGTTGCATACAATTTGGAAAGCAAGCACAGACTAGCATGGCCAATAGAGGTAGCAGAGTATAAGGCAGCCCAAAGGGCAGAGAGAGAGAGAGAGAGATGTTAGGCAGGTGTGGGGAGAGGTAGGCAATCCCTTACTTCAACAATCCCCAACTTTTGCGGCTTGGTGATCTGGCTTGGGGGGGGAAGAGAGGGGAACTGGGCCATGCAAGCGATGGGCTGGCACTCATGCGCACACACAGCTCCACTCTCGCGAGTGGCAGGCCAGTGCACATGCACACCCGCCCACCACTCTCACAAATAGAGCTGCACATGTGCATGTGTGCCAGCCTGCCTCGCGCGGCCTGGTTCCAAATAGGCCACAGCCCGGGGGTTGGGGACCCCTTCCTTACCAAGGGTAACTTGGGGCTGGGAGGGATCAAGGTGGGAGTGGCTTGGATGGGAGTGGGACCTCAGCCAATGACCATTGGGATTCAATTAACAATGAGGCTGTCAGGATTTTTGTTGCTAAGCAATGAGAG